AATGATGACGCTGGCTCAGAGCCAGGTGTGGAGCCATGGCCTGGTTGCTGCCTTGGTTTCCCTGTGGAAGTTTCCCGGGGAGACACCACTGACCCCGCCCCCATGGGCATCACATGGCTTTGCCAATTCCTTCACAGGCCCCTAATCTGGCAGTACTCGCTCGGGCCAACCCCCCAGCCCAGTACCCACTGCCTGGGGATTGTCCTCAGAGCTGACGGGTCACGTGCCATGGGACCGTATCTGCTGCCTCAGTTGTCTACGTGGGGAAACTAAGGCATGGCACCAGCCTATGTGTTCTGGCAGGGTGGGGGGCGGGTTTCAACCATCGAATCAAAGGTCCTGGTTGGCCAAGACCCTGGACCCAAACCACGAACACAGTCTATGCAATGGGTCCTTCCACCCGCACCACTCCCCTGAGGCCCATCCCCTCTTGGCCTCTGCAGGGCCATTATATGGACCAGGGAGCAATGGACCAGGGCCTGTGGGTGTTCTGCAGTCTGGGACACTATGGACTACGGTCCCAAGCATCACAATATACGGACTAAGGTGTTGTACTCTAGGACCCAGGGCCTGGCTCTGTATGGAGTGGGGCCTGGTGTTAAACGGACTGAGGGCATCGTGCTATATGAGCCAGGGCGTTGCACTACATAGACCAGGGGTGGGGGTGTTCCATGACCCAGGCATGCTGTTACATGAACTGGGTCTGGCATTCTGTGGACCAGGCATTACGTTGTATGGACTGGGCGGTACATTATGTGGACCGGGCCTTACTGTATATGGACCCAGGGGGTACTCCCCCATGCACATAGCTTGTCCAATGAGGATGATGGGGTAGGGCCTGTCTCACTTCCTATTTCCACCCCTACCCAGCCTCCCCCAGCCTGGCCTGGCTCAGCTCAGGAAGGCCCATGGGCAGGGGGAAAGAGGAGTGGGCAATAGCCCCTCCACACCAGCCCCCATACGCCACCCCCATCAGCAGTATGCTCTGGGGGGGCAACAGGTCTAGGCCAGGGGCCCTGTGTGTGTGTCCCAGGTCTCTTTCCCCCCCTCCCACCCAAGACCTGTAATCCTTGCGATGTGAAATGCAGGCTATTTTTTCTGGATCGGGTAATAAATATCTCCAGACAAAGTTTTGCGCCAGCCCTTGTTTCCTAGCCCCACAGGGGGGGTGGGACCACAGGCAGGGTCAGGGCAGGCACAGGCCATGTGTTGCCCCAGCCCACTGCTCCTTGGAGCCATGGCAGAGATCAACTGGCTTTGGGTGCAGGATGCCAGACCAGAGGCTGGTCTGGCATTTTGCAAGCATGGAGTGTCCTAGCCTTGCCCTCCCACATTACATGACTGGTTTGTGCCACCCTTTTTGCCCTGGTTCTCCCTGCTCCAGCCCCTGGGCCCCACAAGGGTCCTCCAGCCCCAGGGCAGACAGCAGGGCAGGGGGCTTGGGGGCCTATTATTTCCCGGTCTGTTTGCAGCCCTCCTGCTGCCGCCATGGGCACCCCCAGAACTGTAGCCCAGAAGCACAGGGCACCTGCCATGGGGGGTGGGGGGGGATGGACAGACGGGCGAACGACCCGGGATGGAGCCACCTCTGGACCGGGGCACAGGACAGAACACACCACACAGTCCTGGGCTCTGCAGGGCTTTCACTGCCAGTGTGGGGGGGTACAGCAGTGCCAGTCCCCCATAGCCACAAGCAATATGGCTGCTGCAGCTTCACCCCTTCAGCAGGTCGAGCCCCTGTGCCCACAACCAATATGGGTGCATTAGCAGGCCAAGCCCCCTTGTGCCCACAAGCAACTCGACTTCTGTTGAGCACAGTAGGCTTGGTGCCCACAACCAACATGGCTGCTGTGGCTTCACCGCCCCTCACACCTCTGTAAGGCCAGGTCCAGGCCGCAGTCCGGAGGGGCCGGGGGCCTGGTCCCGGCTGCAGGGCACGGGCCGTGGGTCGGGCTGTCTGCGGCATCCACGGCGGGGCCCAGGCCCAGGCCCAGGCGGGCCTCACGGTGCCAGCAGATGCTGCAGGGCTGCGCGGGGCGGCGCCAAGTCGCGCGGGGTCCTGGAGCGGACGTCGCGGGCGCTGCGCAGGTCCGGGCTGTGCTGCAGCAGCAGGGCGCACAGCTCCTCGTGGCCTTGCGCCGCGGCCTGCAACGGCACGGGGGGCCGGGTCACGGGAGCACCAGGGTCATGGGCGCGGGGGGTCGGGGTCAAGGAGTGCCAGGGCCGCGGGCGGGGTCGGCAGGGGTCACCGGGACCACCAGGGTCATGGGCGTGGGGGGCCCGGGAGTGCCAGGGGCCAGGGCGGGAAGCCCCGCGCACCTTGTGCAGGCTGCTCATGCCGTCGGAGTCGGCGCGGGCGGGGTCGGCGCC